GGGCTGATCAAGGTTTGTGTGTCATGGCAAACTAAGAACAGTATGCTTTGGTTTTAATCCATAATTTGTTTTGATATTTCGGACAATTTTACCTTAAATATGAAATGAATTTGAAATGTTTGTAGATAGTTGATTGCTCTCAATTTTTTTTCAGGATTGTGTTTTCCAGAAGAAGTTCAAACATACCTTTCTCCATGTCTACTTTAATGGCGTCCTCAGAATTGCCAGCTGTAACAACTGCTGTAAACGCTGGTTCTTTACCTTCAACGGTGCTGAGTGCCAGTCCCCTAACGCCATTGATGGAATAGTCTACATGGCCACAGGCAAAAATGAAGATCTCCATCGAGTCCGCCATATTGAAGGTCACTGTGACAAGATCCACGAGGGACATGTACGTGTTGGCTTCAATGTGGGAAACTGCAAAGGGCACGGTAATTTTGACGCGTATACCGGATGGAATTCCGTTAGCCGTCTGTTTATAGAAGAGGTGCCCAGGCCACAGAAGTGATCCCGTCCAATTGCACCACAGCTATCCCAATAATTATCCATTGTAAGGAATCGATGTCTAGATATAGATGATTACTATACAATGAAATTGACTTGATAACATAAAATAGTACGGTTTGTAATAAACCATCAGTGGATTTAGAATAAGTTAATCATGCTGTAATAAGGTGTTGGGTTGAATTAAATCATGAATTGATGCAAATTTCTGTCTGGTTTTTCAACAATTTAAGAATTTAACTGAAGGCCAAAAAGTAAAAAAGAGAAATAGAGAGAAAGAAAATAAAAGAAAGATTGAGGAGACGAATGAACGGAAAAAGTGTAATCGAATGCATTGATTTATAATATGGGGAAGACGYAGATAAAGATGTTGACAGAATGAATAGCGTGACAGATTAAGCGATTGTGGGACGCTAGAGAATAATTATGTAACACAAAGCCTGATTTYCTCTTCAAACATCGCTTGACATAGTTAAGAAAAGCAGTAAATGTCGCGAAATAGACCTAATCGGCTTCAACCCAATTCAAAYCACCCGGGAGTAAGTTTCATTGTTTGTTGTATTTTCATTTCACAGTTGAATTCTTAGTAACAAAAGCTCTTTTTCCCACAGGATTTGAATTTGGTAGCAACGTACATAGCAACGGCGTTAGCCAATTAGGTCTATTGTTTCATTACGTGACAGAGCAGATACATAGCGTGACATGTTTCATATTTAAAAAAAAATTGCTGCATCAAATAGTCGGTCACGACATCGTATTATGGCAAGAGTGTGATTCCATATCACGTGACTATTTGTTATCAAATGTGAGCGTTACAGTATTGTAGCGATATCCATTGTGTTACCGATGAATGAATTAAGTTATATGTCTAAACAAACCTCTTTTTGAGGTCGCCCTTCATTAGTTTGATATATAAAATATGGAGCAGCAATTTACGAAGGAAAGCAACACCAAAAACACAGATAGCAGTAATAACGAGATTACGTGACATATGATGTACACCACCTCTTGAAAGTTGGGATTCCTGTGCCCGAATTTAAGACAGGAAACCCATCATGCGATCTGTTATTGGTCGTTATTGTTATTACCGCTATTCAAACTACATTATGAAAGACAATATTTTCGCTGTATTACCATGAAATAATTGATACCTTATAACCTATGTATCCTGCCTATCTTGATTTATATACTGATTATTGGTTTAAACTCTATGGTTTGTAGAACTACTCACGTTATAGTTCTAGTAAACGACTTTCTATTTTACACAACGTGAATATTTTACTGAACTTGAATCCTTATCA